ATTTTTTATATTACATCTACTATTTTTTTTATAAAAGCATAATTATCCGCAGTCTAGTTACAACCGAAGACAATTAAATAAGTCTATCATTAGGGAGGGATTCGGTAATAACAGAACCATTGCGCGTCACTTCAGACACTCTTTTGGTCATACCGTGGCTCCTGTTTCTTCTTCGCGGAGGTGTAGGGGCGGTATCTGTGTTCTCTATTACATCTTCCAAACTTCTATTCAACCTGCTCGGCTTTTCTGGCGGGATATCCGTAGGGCACACTACATTTTCTATTTTTCGATTATCCTTATCAGAATCTACCTGAACCTCGATCTCCAGCTGATCGTCCGGACTTTCCATTTTTGCTACGGATTCCTCCCACGAGCAAAACGAGATCTTTCTTCCTATGGCCTTCATATCAAGAATTTGCTTCAAAGATGCTGAAACCTCGCTTTTCCCTTCAGCTGATTGACCGACTAGATTCTGATCACTTTCCACGCCTGAGATCTGAGAGTTTGCTTTCATCGGGCTCTCTTCGCCAAGCTTGTTAGCTTCACTTTGCTCCTTGGTTTCAGATTCTAACTTCTTCAAAATCTGTTTATTAGCCCCATTAGTCTGCGCCTCTTTGAACCCTTCTTGCGAGTCCTCTTTCTCTAACATGTCCGACAAGGCAGCCTCCAATTCGTTTAGACTCGGTGTCATCGAGCTTAAGTTACTTCCGTCAGCAGCTTCCTCTTTAAGTACTTTCAACAACGTCGAATGATCAGAGTCCTGGATCTCGGGTTTGATCCTCGGCTCGGGACTGGGCGGTGGCGTGCTGGTCTTCCACTCATCCAGGCTCTTTCTTAATTTGTTGTGTTCATCCTTGGCGTGTTTCTCGTCGAAGAACTCGTCCACATCTTCCTCTAACATCTCCCGTGGCAGGGACTCCTCGGAGATGGTTTTGATCAGGCCGCCTGCGCGGTTCTGTAGTTCTTTCGTCTCGTATGCTTCCTCGCTCGGCTCGCTCTCGTTCGACGGACTTCTGGCGAATATCGTCCTCGACTGGTCTGGTCGATCTGATCTTCCTTCAGAGATCGTATCTGGACAGATGGAACGTGCGGTTTAAACAGTCACGTACCGAGATAGTTGGGTACTTTCCGGGTTCGATCATGTTAGTTAGGAAGCTTGGCTTTGACTCGAGGTTTTAGCGCGATACTGATTGTTGAGGGTTGCGGAGAATTGTGAAATATCGATTCCTGACTTTTGCGGTTTCGCAGTTAAATCGGATTTCGCGGTTTGTAATGGGCATCAACTATGCTTGGCTTTTATTGTCATTAAAAATAGATTCTCATTTGTTCTAAGTTCCAGTATTTTTTACAGCAATTAGGATTTTCATTTAAAATTATATATAGATTCTAGACATTTTTAACATTCACGTTTCAAGTAAATGAAATGGATTAAGGATTGTATGAACAAATCGAGAGCGCCAGCTTTCACATTCGACGTGGGCAAATAATCCTCACACATGCAAATTATGTAAAAATGTAAATTTGTCTTTACCTAAAGCTGCACGATGTTTCGCTTCGTCCAGGAAAAACGGTTCTTTGGGTACAGACTCGGGTGCAGTTGAAATTTTGCAATTATCCGTCAACATAGGAGGTTCAAAATACCTCAAATGCGATCTGCAGAAAAATAAGAAAACTTCTTCATCAAATTTCTGGATAAATAAAAACATAAAAGAAATCTAAATTTCGTTATTTATTTCACAATTATGAGATGCTTTCTAAAAATTTGTATAATCCCAGTTTATAAGAATAGCAGCAGCGTTACTTTTAGTAGATACTTATTTTTTATCTATCGAACTGAAACGATTGTAATTATTGTAAAAATTGTTACAGTTACCCGTTTATAAAAATTGATTTATAAAATTGAATTTATTCACACATAAACCTATCTAACGTCCTATATTCATTAAGGATTTCCGAGCGGAACTGTTACTGCAAAGCGAAATAGCTAAAGCCGAGCGATATATCGCGCAATACCGTATCAAGCGCCCATTCAGTCGAATACGAGTAAATATAATAAGTTTGCGAAGTGGCGAGAGAAGATTATACAGCGGCCGGAACAGTAAGACCACGGAATATGGACTTACACCGGTTGGCATCTGGCACCCCAATTAAACCCACTTAATCCCCGGAACAGCGACCCATAGATAATCTCTCTACCGACCTATTTGGATCCACTTCGGCGTACACAGGCTGCCCGAGTACCGGCGAGGCTGTTTTTCCAAACGATTCCGGCTTCTCTAGATAAATCGTTGATAACAAAGGAGATCCACTTGCATCTTCTCGACCTGAGAAGTCGACAACATCTTCGCCGCGTACACGGTCCTCCTCATTGATCCTCTGAAAATCCTCGTATCTGCTTACATTGTTACTATATGTACCTACGTATTGTTTGAGAAATTTTTATGCGATATCTTTATCACATTTTACATAAATTCAGAAAACAGCTAAACTCGTGTTTATCGTGATGAAGGGTACAAGGTAATATTTCAATTAAGAGTCATCTAATAAATGAATAAATTCATTACTTTCTTATAAAGTTTCGAAACTTTAATTTACATAATAATTTATCAAAGTGCCAACTTAACGACGTTTACTACAATATGAAATTTGTCTAGCAGGAAAAATTAATTTTTTTATATTGGGCTTTATACCCCATGTAGTTTTACAGTTATATTATGTACACGTATTTTATTAATGTATTCACCAAACTTTTGTACATTACATGTACTGTCCTATTTCAATTAATAGAAAAATAGATTTACATTTCTATGTATAAAATTTTTGCCACATAATTCCCTGTCAACGGATTAATAATTCTATTATTTCCTCTATAATTGTTTATGTATTCTCCGCATGGAATTCCTCAAACAACATAAACAGAGATAGATAGACAATATCGATTAGATACCTCGAAGGAGGGTCGGCGCCGGTGATTTAATTCGCAATTATCGATGTCAGCCAGCTCCCAATCCTCAGATTTACTCGGGTCGTACTTCAGGTACTCGTCCCTTACCACTGTCCCGTTTGTCCTGGATGCATCAAGATTCTCCAGGAGCTGATACGGCGACAGGTTATCGGATCTCGGTATGTAGTCCTCCAGTCGCACGCTCGTTTTCTAAGGATTAGAATAAATGCACGCGTTATCCACGTTGAATTGGCGTCGTCGACGTGGCTTCTTGCAGCGGATTAACTCTTTCGCGGTAGCTGCATTCTTAGCCACAAAATGATACATTTTTTTGTTTTCAGAACAGACCATTTGATACAAGTTTTGAAATCAATTTAATGTAATTTTTATTCTAAATAATAGTAGATGAATAATACCTTTCTATTTGATTTAGTAAACATTAATTTACCTGATTCTTAATTTGATGTACATAATTTATACACTTAATCTACCTGATTTACTTAAGGATGTATTGGCTATACAGTCAATCCC